TCGAGCTGAAGTAATATCGACAAGTGGCATTACTTCCCTGGACACAAGGAGCTCTACTGCTACTAAAGTCACTCACAATCTTTAACACCGACATGAGACAATCTACCTTACTCACTTGCACCTGTGCACTGCTAATTACTCTGTCTCATAACTCGACGTCGATCGCGTTGACCAGTCTTATAAATTCGAGTAATTGAATCGACTCGGCACATGGTCGTTTTTCATAGGAGCGAAAGAGACAGTTGCTCAGTAGTCAGTATTTTACTATGACAAGGGAATTTAATTTGTTTCATCGGAAAAAATAGTGAGTAAAAATCTTTACATGTAAAGATGGCGGGTTTTTATAGTCACAGTTTTTGGACGATTTAGTATTTGTTTAAAAGTAACATGACATTTTGTCAGGTTTGTTAGGTTCAAGGTTTGTTTGAAAAAACAAATATACGCGATTTAAATCCGGAAAAATAGTTTCATTCCTATGTGTAACAATCGCGAAAACCTAAGAACTCGATATGACATTTTGTGTTTCTTAATTTTGTGTCACTTTTTAAATTAACGGCTTTGTTCAAGAAATGGTTAAAAAAAACTTAAAAATACACACAATATTAGAACAAAAATGACGGGTTGTCGTGGTAACAGTTTTTATGCGATTTAGTTTTTCAATCAAGTTGCACAAGTTTCTTCATTTTTATTGTCATGTTACTAACCTGACGGGAAACTGAACACGCTTTTATAGTAAGATTCAAGTAGGATATTTAACTGCCTCAGTGGCCGAAGGGTTACCGGTTGCTGGACTGCCACGCAAAGGTCCCGGGTTCGATTCCCGGGCCGGGAGAAATATATGTATGTGTCCATGGCACCCGCGACACAGGTGCACACCTGTGTTATTATTATTATATAAAAATTATCATTTTAGGAAATGATAATTTTTGTATGTATATAATAGCAATAACGCGCACACACTCAAAATATATAAGCAATAAATATACTTGAGAAAAAATATTTAGGTATATATTGACTTACAAATAAATGGACGACGGGTCTAATACAAAAACCACGAAAAAAATGTCCCAAGTCAACCTATTTAAACGTAGTGACATGTAAAGGAATATGAAAAAGCTAAAACGTTGAATTTAAATTGTAATGTCACCGCAGTACTGTCTAGTTTTGCTTGCTTCGCTGTCAGTCGAACAAACGAAGACTAAAGCGTGAATGACGCTCTGTATACGATTTTAACGCCCTATAAGTTTGGACACTTTTTAGCGCGGACCCGACGTCCATATAATTGTAAGTCAATGGTATATATAATAATTTTTGATGTAAATTTTAAAACTTACATTACAATCGTTTTAATTGAAGTCATATTATAAAATTGAAGACGTGTGGATAAACGACATAGGTCTAAATTCCACACAAATTTAACAATTAAAACTATTTGAAAAGATCACTATTTTTCATAAAAAAAAAATACTTTGGCAGTGCAATCCGCACAATCCAGACTTACGTAGATATGAGAACACGCGATTGTGTGTCACGCATTTTGAAGTGTTATTTAATTACGTCATTGACAAATACGAGGAATTCGTTGAAATTTTGAATGTAGAAAAGGAGTCTAAAAAACCACATTCCATATCCGATGAATAAGAACAAGCAGTGAAAAATAAACCAGTTCGAGATGCAAGTTTTTTCCATTTTAAAATGTAAATCGGTCGTCTGTATGCAGGATTCTTCCTAAAGTCAATATCGTTATAGTTTCTTACAAGTACAATTTACACAGAAACCAGCGATTCCGTAGAATTCGGTTCCGCAGAAAAGACGTTACGGTTGTATTATCAGACTCGAATTTTGAACATTAAAATTTAACTTGAATATTCACTAAGCTATATTTATTTTGATTAAACATCATAATGTTTTTACTATAATGACAATTATCTATTTTTTGGTGTTCGTTATCGCGGTCTCCTCGATGATAACTGCAACACATGGAAGTCCTCGTCAAAACGATTTTGTAAATTTTGAGGATTTTTTACCTATCTGCCAATTCCACTCTCCCGACCGGAAACTGCGTCTTTTCCGAGTCGAGACGCATAATAGCTATTTACTACTGGCCGATCGGAAATTTATGATATTTCTAATCGGACCAATAGTTGATTTAACTCACAAATTAGAAAGATATAGTAGGAACATTGACTTAACAATTACATGGACGTCTGGTCCGCGTTAAAAAGTGTCCGAACTTGTAAGGCGCTAAAATCGTATACAGAGCGCGACACTCCGCTTTAGTCTTCATTTGTTCTACTGACAGCGCGATACTGCGATGACATTACAATTTAAATTTCGAATAGGTTGACTTGGGACATTTTTTTCGTGGTTTTTGTATTAGACCCGTCGTCCATTTATTTGTAAGTCAATGAGTAGGAATCAGGTTCATCTTCTTGCACAGAAACCCATCTGATTTCGAGAATCAGGACGCAGCTCCATGCCACGATAACATTGGAATTTTCATTGGAATTACATTTACGTGACACGTTTTATTGAAATCTGTTAAGAGTTTTTTATAGATTTTTTCCCGTACTAATACGATTCATTTTGCTTGGATCGAGCGGCAGAAACATTGGCATTGTTTCAGAACTTATTTTTTTACAAGCGATATTAACGCTATTTGAAAAATGTATATCGTATACTATACCTGCAGCGCTGGTGAGCGGAGGGGGTGCGTAGAAATTGAGACGCAGACGGAAAGTGCACAAGGCGTATATTAGATACACGACGAAACAAAAAGGTATGCGGCTAGGGACCCAGCTGTATGTCTCACTATCGTGAAAGCACACAGTTCAGTGCCAAAACCTTAAAAAAGCAGTAATAGGACCGAATCGTCTCAACAACTTGAGTGCCGTTCAGTGCCGTATCAAAGCTGTAGTGGTAGTAAGGATCAACAGTTCAAAACATATGAGATTACTTATACTATTGGAGTTAACAAAACGATAGCGCGTTTCAGAGTACAACTAACGCCATCTAGCGGTGGCGCGATAGAACTATTGGCGGGTTGAGGTTATAGTTGTTACATACCTGTTTTATTTAGTTCAGTTGATATTTAAAAAAAATCATTGGTATAATATGTAAAGTACCTATTGAATAATGAGTCAATGTATACCTGAATTTTACTATATATTTTCTCCAAAATAATTGAAATGAAATGAAATATTTATTCGCAAGCAAACACGGTAAGAAAAGATATTATTATACAAGGTGTCAAGAACACGTGTTGCACCAGATACTGGCACACAAATATTAAAATAAATTGAAGTTAAATAATGTCATAAATTAAAATTATACAATTTGTCAAACAAGCAATGTCGTATAAAATTAAGTCAAAATGCCAATAAATAGCAACAGTAACAACATCATAAATTAAACAATATCAAAGAAGTAAGAACAGCACAAATACAAACAAAGTGTCAAATACAAACAAAATGTCAATTTCTTTTTATTATTAAAAAATCTTTGATATCGTATAAACACAGATCACATAGCAAATCAAATAACTTTTTTTTAAATATTTTGATAGGTAAATCTGCGATAGCTTAGCTTAGCTAGGCAAGGCATTATATATTTGTATGGGCATGTTATAGCAATTCCTGTAAAAGCAAGTAGTCTTATGGGAGGGGCCAGCTATACGGTTTGGATATCTAGTTAAAAAATTACATACTTCACGTTTCCTAGTAAATAAGACCAAGTTTTTTTTAACAAACATGCATACCTCATATACGTACATGGCGGGAAGCGTTAGAAGATTTAGCTTTTTAAAAAACGGTCTACAAGATTCGAGCGGACCTACTCTACATATAGCTCTGACACATTTTTTCTGGATAGCAAATACACGGTTTATCTCTGATTCAACACTTTCACTATTATGTGCAATCAACCGAATCTATTTGCGATGAGGAAAGAGGGTGTAATTCAAGAAACCGGATTCAACCCCTAATTTGCCACCGAAACGAGAAGAGGTGGAATATTCTCTTCAAATTTGAATACCACTATTGAAGTACCCCCTTTTTGAACAAAGAAAGAATCATCGAAATCGATTTCCAAATAAAAAAGAAGAAAAATGTCGCTTAATGAAATAATATTTTTCATGGTTGTATATGTCTATTATGGTTACTTTGAAAAACTTTTCAGAAAAGTTGTCCGTATTCATATTGCGATAATTTATCTACAAAGTAAATATTTAGTTCCCGTAAAGCCGTCAAAGTGAGTTCCAAGATTTGCCGTTTGGATATTTCCGTGCCCCGCTATTCTCGCCAAACTATAAATAAGCTATAGTTAACAATAGTTACCTATTAGTAGTCCGAAATGACATTTTCCAGAATTAACGTTTGCTCGTATTTTCATAACTTCGAAAGTAATTTTGAGAGGAAAGTGTTTTTTTCTTTTAAACCTACCTTAACCTTTTTTTTATCGGGGAGAAATGCTTTATACCCGTGGAGGCTCGAGGGTTATGTGACTGTGTGACTGACCCTCCGATGGAGGGCATACCCACTAAAAACCCCCGGCGCACCCTCTTGGCCGGGTGTTGTGGGCACCGTGGGATCCCGAGGATTCTACCACAACGATGCCCCCGGCCACACTGGCTTCTGCCAAAGTTCCCGCGCTAAAGAGGGGAGGGTCAGACGCTTAACGCATCCCCTCAGACGAGTGAGACCGTGCAATGCGGGCAAGGGATCCCCGTCCCTTGTCCGCTGGCCTCCCTAGGGAATTAGGCGAGCAGCGAACTGCACTCGCCTTCTTCCCCGCCGCCTGCGCCGGAGCGGGTTCGCGTCGACTGCGTCTTCGCGCACCCGTTCCGCGACCTCCTTTTGCGAGATGGCCTCCTCGCAAAAGAAAGCCACTGCCTCACACGATTCCACACCGCTTAGCATGGCAGATATCCCGCTAGGCAGCAAGAGATCTCTCCCTATAGTCGCTACCAGAGTGCGGCGTTGCACACTTCAGCGATTGCACACCTCTAGGGTGTGTTGTGCCGTATCGTCCGCATCGCAGCACTCATGGCAGAACATTGAGGCCTCTCTCTTGGCGACTGTATGCAGGTAGTGCCCGAAGCAGCCGCGCCCGGACAGTACCTGCACAAACTGGTGCGTTAGGAGCCCGTGTCTCCTATCGACCCACTGGTCGAGAACCGGGCGGATCGCCTCTATGATGCGGACACCGTAGGACGAATCCGCCAGGCTCGTTTCCCAGCGGTCGCGCATTCGTTGCGCCGCCATCCGTCGTGTCCCTTTTACCTCTTGAGTGGCAGTGCGTTCGCTCCTGGCCGATCTCTCCATTTTATAGTGGTAGACTTTGGCCAGCACCTCCGCTTGCATTTCCACCGAGGGATACCTGCAAGGGCACACGCAGCAGCCCAGGCCACCGTTATGTACGCCTGACACATCCTAATGGCCACCACCCGTTGAGGCCGGCACCATGTCCCCCCACATTTGGCAGAAGTCGGCCAAGCGCGGCCGCGGCGCCCAACACTCGAGGAGCAAGTTGGCGGAAATGTGCCTCAAATTTCCATCTTCGGTTGACTATAACCGTTTCAAACCTAACTTAACCGAACCTAATCGTGTCTTTGCGTTTCGTTATAATTCGGTTTTCGGTGTAATGAAAATTCGAACAAACGTTATTTCGGAAAAAAAGTTCGAGTTTGTGATAGGTTACCGTTAATAATTTATAACTTTTTTATTGAAATCGACCTCAAAAGTACGTGGAATTACATCTATTTGCCAAATTTTATTGAAATCGATTACAAGAAAGTCGCACAGTTTCTGGTAAAAAAGTCAATTGTCAAAAGTCATTCATCCCCTAGTTTTCCACCCTTCGAGGCAGAACATTTTCAATGGAACATGAACAGGAACATTTTAAATGGGGCAAATACTGCGGTGCTCGCTTTCTAATAAAAAAACAATCACTAAAATCGGTTTACAAATGCCGACCGGAGTAATCACGTGACATATGTATTTGTAAAAGAACACAGTCGAATTGTGGTACTGGTGAAATTACAGGCACATAGGACTTGTCAACTTACGTCTCAGGGTGACGGCGCGGTGATGGTGCCCCTCAGATCTTTGTAATTTAAAGCTCTGTGTGGCACTGTAACTGTTACGAACAGGCGTGTAGTTTACCATCAGGCGTACGAATTGTTTGTCCCGTCACTTGATGTTATAAAAAACGAACTTCTAAAGCTTTGTATTAACTGCCTCCGTGGCCGAACGGTTACCATGCCGGACTGCCACGCAGAGGTCCCAGGTTCGATTCCCGGGCCGGGAGAAATATTTGTATGGCCTACATTTATATCTCGCGTGAGTTTGGGTGTAATTTGTGGTTGTCTATGTGTGTGTCCATGGCACCCGCGACACAGGGTTTCCCTAGTGCGGGGCTATGTTGAGTGTGAGCGTTATTATTATTATTATTATTATTATTGCTTCAATCCTCCTATAATGGAAAGGCAATTTGATACTTGAACCTCAATTATTTAGACCATTGCGTTCTACCTGGTGTCAAAGTATTAATTAACCTATATTAAACTTGCCCATAGAATAAATCACAGCTTACTACTATATTGTCTTTGATAAGCTTCCTTTGTCTTCGACTATATCGGGTGATGATGTCGATAACTTGCAGTATCGAAAATGAAATGTATAACACCATAAATAACCCGCGCTGAAAAGCCTGTTTAATTATAAATCGCTCGGATACTGCCACTAATGGCCAATCGCCACCGCCTCCTCGTTTTCCAGGTCTCGAACCGTAAAATGGCGGTCTCTCTCCTAAACGGGGTTCCACGCGTATCTATTTACATTTTGTAAAATTTACTAAAAAAAGGACAAACATATTTCTGTGTTTGTCCTTTTTGTTATTTGATCTTTTGTTTTTTTTTTTATTTAAAAATAATGATATCTTGTTTTAATGCTTATATTGTATTTATTATACTGTTACTTTTTGTACTATTGTTTTTTTTTATTAGTTTTTATGTTTGTTTATGCGTATTGCATGTGTGTGTTTTGTGATAAATAAACCATTTATCTATATCTATCTATCTATCTAAAAAACAACCATGTTGTAATATGAAGTATAATGATTATTACGATGTTTTGCTATCATGATATTCAATTACTTTTTTGTGAAATTACTCCGCTAGTTTGTTAAAATTTACCTTAACAAACAGATGGCGCCACGCAAAAAAATTCGTTAAAGTAACCAAAAACAAATATCTGCAACAAACTCAGAAAAATTTATAAGGTCCGCTAGTTCGCTCAGAGGCTTAGTTGGCATAGCGTCTGGCATGGTTTGCTGGAAGACGCAGGTTCAAATCCAACCGAATCGAATTCATTTTTCTTTGTGTTCGATCTTCGCCTCAACCATGTCGTTTTACGAAATATTTTTTGTCAAAATATTCAGTAGCAGTAAACCGCCTTGCGAAAGTTCGGCCAGGGTACTGCCCATTTTTGCCGCCAAGTAGTAAAGTGAGCGTTACAGCATTCCGGTTTGGAATGGTTTGGTGAAATTACAGGCACATGTGTCCTGTCAACTTTATTTCACGGGGTATCGGGCACGGAAGCAGTAGTCTTCAAATCTTTGTATTTAAAATTCTGAGTAGCACTACAACTGTTGTGGATAGGCATGTCGCTGGGTTTGCTGGAAGACGTTGGTTCGAAGCCCGTCGGATCGAAGCAATTTTTTCTTAGTCTTATCTTAGTTTTATCTTAGTATTAATAATTATTACAAACTAGTGGAGTAATTTCCCAAAAATAATTCTTAATACACGGAACGAACCAGCGGACCTCACGAATTTTCTATGTGCTTGTTATCGTGTCTTTGTATTTGGTTTTTCAACGACTTACAGCTACCAGCCCTGGCGAGAGATGTCGCTATACACTGTGTTCTAAATTTTTTTTTTCAAGAATAATTGAATATCATGGTGGCCAAAAATTGTGACGTTCATAAAAACTTAAAAATAAATACAATATGAAGTTAATAAAAGTTTTAACATCGACATTGCACCAGTATCAGCAAATATAATGATCACAACGAATCTACTACACCGACGTCTTCATAAATGAAAGGATTTAATGCTATCAATTAGTAGTTCTACAAAGTGCAGGAACCGTCATGTGGACAAACAATTAACTGGCGATAATAAAACCAGTTAGTTACCGGTGAAATGGATCACCATCAAGTAATTCACTTAACTGCCTCTTGTAAAAGTGCAACTAAGTTACGAGGCTCTATACTGACAGCCCTACATGGTATCCGGACCGATCCTTCCACTCTTTACAAACACATAATTCCTTGTATGATTTCCCCGGTGTGAATTTAATTAGGACAAAAAGGTTAAAGAATCAGCATTGCTGATTTTCAGTCTTCACTAGTAGCTATATAAGCAAAACTTTTCAAAACAACTAATGCAAATCCCGTCTGTTCTGTACATATTAATGCTTGCAACATAACATCGTTCGGAACTTAGGGTTGTCACATTATCATTTTATTTATACCTACAGGTTGTAAAGAAAATTTGAAATAATTAAAGTATTCATTACAGTATTCTCGTATCAAATATTGTAGTACTTCATGTTGATATTTTTATACCAGTATCGTTGACTGGTATCTCGATTATAGGAGTATGTTTATGAGATATAATTCTGAATTCGAATTTGGTACTGTTGTTCAAACAACCACAAATACAACAATAAATACGTCTTCTATTTTGATGCAATTTTTTATACACAGAGCGAACGCCTCACTTTTAAAATGAATGGCGCGTGTGACAACCCGCCCTATGCAACGCGAGTGCACCGCGAAATTATGCGAATGTGTGCGTCGTGTGTGCTACATTCATATAGAGATAAAAACAAAAAATCTAAACGTTAATACGTTATTAATTTTATTCACTATGTGCTTAATTGTCTACGATTATTTGAATTTAGATTTTTTTGTACGTAACATGTAACATATATTTGGATGAAACAGCGTGGACTGTGTATAATTTGCATAGTCCTCTGATGATGAGTAATAAACCCTTTTGGCATGCTTTTTATTTTTTATTTTAACTTGAATTAATTTTTATTAATTTATTTTTTATTTATATATTTTGCAAGTCAATTAAGCCCGTTTTATTTTATTTTATTTTATTTATTAGTAGCAGTAGAGTTCCTTGTGAAAGAGTTCGACCAGGGAAGTACTGCCACCTCGCCTATTTCTGCCGCCAAGCAGTAATGTAAGCGTTACTGCATTCCGGTTTGGAAGGGTAAGGGTGCTGGTGAAATTACAGGCACAGGCACTTCTGTTTCAAGGTAACGGGCGCAGTGGCAATGCGCCTAAGATCTTTACGATTTAAAGCTGTTATGAATAGACGTGTCGCTTAGCACCAGGTGCATAATGTGTTCGTTCCGTCGCTTGTTATTACAAAAAATCAATCAACCAATGATTGTGAGGTATATGCATTTAAACTATAAGGGAAGACAATATCCAGTCACACACCACACACTTAATAACTAACACATCGTTCCGTGTGTAGAAGGCATCAGGAAGTCGTAACTCTCTAAGAGCCCGCAGCTTGCAATTGCGTATAAAACACCAAGTTTACAGCTTGTGAACATGGTGGATTATGCGCTTACACAACCAGAGCGGTATCAACTCAAAAACCTTCTTGTAAACTTCAACTGAGCACCGAATTTTAAAGCCAGAGAATACTTGGTGCTCCTCTATTACATTCAAGAACGCATCATACTACACATTTTGGACTTTGGGCCGTTCTTGTTGCAAGAGTTGAATTTAAATTTTAAGTACTGTCATCAGAACGAAAAAGTCACAACTAACATTGTTATCAACATTTATTTATACAATGTTGTTTTTGTATAATGACAAGCTCGTAGTACTATATTACTAACATCTTAAACAACAACTTTTGTTCCATTACTTTTTACAATACTGCCCTCAGAACGAAGTAAGGCACAACTGCTGTACAAAGTACGCACAGTTGTGCCTTTTTTCGTTACGAGAGCAGAATAGTACAATATTGCAGAGGCCGGGAAGTACGGGATTGCTGGATGAGTATGAGTTAGAATGAGTTGTATTAATACGAGTCAAGCAATCCCCGTTCCGGCCGAGACTTGTATAGTGATTTTCTCAAACAATGCGAAGAAATAATAGAAGACTAAAGAGATAAAAAGTAAAAAAAAAATTACTGTAAATTAAAAGTAATATTTGACAATGGTTTTCCAGGCATATTTAATCTCCGCATCTGCTGATCTTCTGATGACGCTATTTATTGTGTAATATAAATATTTATTTTCATTATCGCTGTTCTCACTAAAACTTATTTTCGCGAAGAACATTTC